AAATGTATTTTGCATAGTCTGTGTTTAGACCAGTGTTCCTCAACATTGGTCCCTTGAAGATATATGGACTTCAACTCCCAGAATTCCCCAGCCAATAGCCAAGGTTTAGAAAATAGTGCTATTATTGTCTACTAATAATTAGAAAGCCTGGCTATATGGATACATAATTGGATAATGCTGGTTACTAGGTGGTTTTTTTTATATTGTGCATTTTATTTATTTTATTGTAATCCACCTAGAATGGTGCAAAAGTGAGGTGGGCTGCTATATAAAATGAATCAATAAATAAATGAGATATTGCACAAAAAACTTTTTTTGATCAATTAAAAAGTGTGTATGTGTGTGTGTATTTATTCCCTGGATCTAAATTCATTCATCTTATGTTGAACTCAGCATTTCTGCCATATATGCTGCAATGAATGGGTTGCCAAAGCTAGACTCGTAATAAATTACAGGTAGTCCTTGTAACTCAAGGACTACCTGTGCATTTTGTTTATTTATTAAATGTATATAGATTGGATTTGTTTAAAATGGTTCCCCACAGATCACTCTTTTAGACCTAGAGGTTTCAGTAAGTTTGTGGACATGTTTAACGTGCAAGCACGGGAAGCTTGAATTATCCAGTTATTTAGAGTATCTCTGGGATTTAAGCCGACTGGAGCTGAAGGGTAAATGTAAAATGAAAAGGCAAAGAGGTAAAATTAATAAAATTATTTCTGGTACGAAACGAGGAGATCAGAGGAAGAAGCAGCCAAGAAATTGCACCTCGGAAGAAGCCACGGACTCACCTTCTGGATCTGTCAAGGAGGTGATATCCACACACTTTTCCTGGGGCCAGAAACAATTCATCTGTGTGAGACTGGAGTTGTTACAAGTGTTATCAGCAGCTGTACAAGAATAGCAACTCAGGATGTTTTCTCTGTGGCCTCGGACATGGATCATATCCCTCACTGTCCAGGAGAAAAACGGCAAACCGTTGAAACAGTGAATGAGTCTTTGTATATTCTTGCACACATTAATCAATATTATTATGCCAGAGTCTCTAGGCATCATAGCACGTCCTAAACCCCTTTGAGAACTGGCCTTGGGCTCTCCGTTGCATAGGCAACCTTGGCTCTTTTATGACTCGTGAACTTCAACTCCCAGAATTCCTGAGCCAGCATGGCTGGCTCAGGAATTCTGGGAGTTGAAGTCCACGAGTCATAAAAGAGCCAAGGTTGCCTACCCCTGGCCTAGACCTTATCTCTCCCAGTTTTGAGCGCCATTGTCAAGATATGAGCAAAAGAGAAAATCTAGATGAAAAGTCGAATCACTCTTGACAGTTGTTGTTGTTGTCAGTTGCGAAGTCATGTCTGACCCATCGCGACCCCATGGACAACATTCCTCCAGGCCTTCCTGTCCTCTACCATCTTCTGGAGTCCATTAAAGCTCACGCCTACTGCTTCAGTGACTCCATCCAGCCACCTCATTCTCTGTCATCCCCTTCTTCTATTCCCCTCCATCTTTCCCAGCATCAGGCGCTTCTCCAGTGAGTCCTTCCTTCTCATTAGGTGGCCAAAGTACTTAAGTTTCAACTTCAGGATCTGGCCTTCTAAAGAGCAGTCAGGGTTGATCTCCTCCAGGACTGACTGGTTTGATCGCCTTGCAGTCCAGGGGACTCGCAGGAGTCTTCTCCAGCACCATAGTTCAAAGGCCTCAATTCTTTGGCGCCCAGCCTTTCTTATGGTCCAGCTTTCACAGCCATACATTGCAACTGGGAAAACCATGGCCTTGACTATATGCACTTTCGTTGGCAGGGTGATGTCTCTGCTTTTCAATATGCTGTCTAGATTTGCCATAGCTTTCCGCCCCAGGAGCAAGCGTCTTTTAATTTCTTGGCTGCAGTCCCCATCTGTGGTGATCTTGGAGCCCAGGAAGATAAAATCTGTCACTACCTCCATTTCTTCCCCATCTAATCAAGCTCCTATATGCTCAAATATATACATACTTCTGGGTACTTCCTTGGGAACACCACTGTTGCACAGATCGGTTTCACAATGTTCTTCTGCCAGAAACACAAGTCGATGGCCCAGAAGGTGTGAGATGGAATTATTTGGCTTTCCACTTACGTCACAACCCTTGAGGAAGTAGGGGGAGATCTTGTGTCCTGCAGGACAATGGAGGAAGAGAAAGGCAGAATCACAACTCTAGCCGTGACAGCAGTGGTGGGATTCAAATAGGTGAACAACCGGTTCTCTGTGTGGATGCCACTTCCGGAAGTCCATTCCGGGCCTGGGCAACAAAAAGTAGCTACCGGTTCTGCCGAAGTGGTGCCAACCGGCTGAATCCTACCACAGGAAGGGAGGGAGGGAGGGAGGGAGGGAGGGAGGAAGGAAGGAAGGAAGGAAGGAAGGAAGGAAGGAGTGGTGGGATTCAAATAAGTCAGGGGTAGGCAACCTTGGTTCTTTTATGACTCGTGGACTTCAACTCCCAGAATTCCTGAGCCAGCCCCTGAAATAGGTCAACAACTGGTTCTCTGCCGCTTCCAGAAGTCCATTCCAGGCCTGGGCAACAAAAAATTAATTCTGCCGAAGTGGTGCTAACTGGTTGAATCCCACCACTGCCGAAGTGGTGCTAACCGGTTGAATCCCACCACTGCATGACAGGCTTGCCAGACCATACATACAAAATTGGCTCCCCATTTTTAATGTGGATTCTTCCTATCTTTCACTTGAGAACGTAAAATTCACAACCTTCTTAAATATTGCTATGAGAATGTCTTGGGGGGGGGGGGAGATGCTACTGGTGGCGAAATGTGTTGGTGATCCCATACCCCCCTAGCCAGTGGGGTGCCCGTGCTGGAGACCCTCCACTGCTTTAAAACAGTAATTATTAGTAGCGTAGGTGACCCCTTTTGCTAGTCTCCATCAATAAAATGTTAAAAGTGATGGAATCTACTGTGTGCCAGTCATGTTTTTTTTTTCCATTGTTCTTTCCAGAGCTACGATTCCTATCTCAGCAATGAACACAGTGGGATTCTCCTGCTATGGCGTCAAGCTGCCACACTCCGTGGTAACTTCGCCGAGCTTCGCACAACAGTGGAGAAGTGAGTGTTACCTAAATTTACCATTGCTATAAGAATGTTTCTCACTCTTCTATGCTGAGAAAGAGAAGAATTTTTCTTTGGAGTTAATAACGCTTAAATAAAAAAAAACACTTGGGGCACCTGAATAGTAAATGAATATGTTAGTTTAAGATTAAATATTTGCAAAATTAAGAAAACATGATACAGGATCTTTGGGATGGATAATGAGTTTGTAAACTTTTATTGATTAATGAAATTTATATAGACTGATATATGTAATGAAAATTTGTTTTAGAAAGGTTTTAATGAGCCTATAATAATATAAACAGATAGAGAATGTTAGTTTATCTTTAATTATATAACTTGGATGAAATGTTATATTAGTGAATGAACTGGTTTTAGAAAGATATTGATTTGATTATAATGTGTTTAAATGAATGGAGTGTATTAAGCTTAAGTTTAAATGTTTGAAGAAATATAGGTTTTTATAGATTAAATTTTTTTATTGATTAATGCAGTTGATGGTTAGACATAGTAATGAATGAATTTATTTGAAAATGTATTAATTTGATCATAATATTCTATATAGATAGAGAGGGAAAATTTTAAGAAATAATGGGTATATATTTACTATGTTATTGTTTGTTTTTTTTTAAAAATGGATCACCATGTTTCCATGTGGGTTCTTAAGCTGTGTTGGTGTAAAATGGAAAACTAATAAAAATTGTTTTGGAAAAAAAAGAATGTTTTTCACTCTTCTATGAAAAATTACCAGACAGAAGAATGCTCTGAAACATCAGATACCACGGTATTTATGCCCTTGTGTCGGAGCCCTATTTCTTTTTTAAAAAAAGTTTGTGTGTGTGTGTGCACATGTGCACAGGCACGTGTAAAAGAGTATGCAAAACTTTCCGATCTTGAAATAATACTTTGTGACCTGTTAGTTGTCCTTAAATTAGGAGATGGTTATCCTTCACTCAGGTTATCCTTAATAATAGTTATGTTCAAGTCAGGAAAGTTGACACCACATAGCTCTGAATGCTTCAGCATCCCTCATGTGGCTAACATAATTGATATATCTGGAAAATGTGAGTATAACATATATTTCTAATTTAGATAGAAAAGGTCCAGGTTTTTCTGAGTATGTTGCATCCTGTTAGTTAGTTTTGCACAAAGCAAAACAATAAATCAGCATAAATAAATAACTCTGTTCTTCCGTTTTTTTCTATCCAGCCTGGATCAGCCATGGGTCATTCACTCTTTCTCTCCCGCCCTCTTTTCCCTATCATGACCTCCCTTCCCCCCCCCCTCCCAAAAACTTACGATTGATTATGGTCATGACGGTGGTCTTGCACATCTTCTGGTGCTCTTTACATGTTTCCGTTTCTCGGCAGTCGCTGTTTCCACTACATGAGTAGCACTGGAGGGCAACAACTGTTAGAAGAATAACAGAATAACAGAGTTGGAAGGGACCTTGGAGGTAATAATAATAATAATAATAATAATAATAATAATAATAATAATAATAATGATGATGATGATGATGATGATGATGATGATGATGATGATGATGATGATGATGATAAAGTTGGAAGGGACCTTGGAGGTCATCTAGTCCAACCCCCTGCTCAGGCAGGAAACCCTATACCATTTCAGACAAATGGCTGTCCAGTTTCTTCTTAAAAACTTCCAGTGTTGGAGCATTCACCGCTTCTGGAGGCAGGTTGTTCCACTGGTTAATTGTTCTCACTGTCAGGAAGTTTCTCCTTAGTTCTAGGTTGCTTCTCTCCTTGATTAGTTTCCATCCGTTGCTTCTTCTCCTGCCTTCAGGTGCCTTGGAGAATAGCTTGACTCCCTCTTCTTTGGGGCAGCCCCTGAGATATTGGGGCACTGCTATCATGTCCCCCCTCGTCCTTCTCTTTGTTAAACTAGACATACCCAATTCCAGCAGTCTTTCCTTATATGCTTTAGCCTCCAGTCCCCTAATCATCTTTGTTGCTCTTCTCTGTACTCTTTCTAGAGTCTCAACGTCTTTTTTACATCGTGGTGACCAAAACTGGATGCAGTATTCCAAGTGTGGCCTTACCAAGGCCTTGTAAAGTGGTATTAACACTTCACGTGATCTTGATTCTATCCCTCTGTTAATGCGGCCTAGCACTGTGTTGGCTTTTTTGGCAGCTGCAGCAAACGGCTGGCTCACATTTAAATGATTGTCCACTAGGACTCCGAGGTCCCTCTCACAGTTACTACTATTGAGCAAGGTGTCACCTATGCTGTACTTGTGCATTTGGTTTTTCTTCCCTAAATGTAGAACCTTACTTTTTTCACCATTGAATTTCATTTTGTTAGATAGCACCCAGTGTTCTAGTCTGTCCAGATCCTCCTGTATCTTAAGCCTGTCTTCTGGAGTGTTGGCTATTCTTGCCAGCTTGGTGTCATCTGCAAATTTGATGATTTCCCCATCTATACCCTTGTCCAAATCGTTGAAGATGTTGAAGAGCACTGGGCCCAGAACAGAGCCCTGGGGCACCCCACTACACACTCCCTAGTTCTAGGTTGCTTCTCTCCTTGATTAGTTTCCATCTGTTGCTTCTCATTCTGCCTTCAGGTATTTTGAAAAATAGGTTGACCCCCCCTCTTCTTTGGGGCAACCCCTGAGATATTGGAAGACTGCTATCATGTCAACCCTCATCCTTCTTTTCATTAAACTAGACATACCCAATTCCTGTATTCCTTTCATATGTTTTAGCCTCCAGTCCTCTAATCCAGGGCTTTTCAACCAGTGGTACGGGTACCACCTGTGGTACATTGGCACCTGGCAGGTGGTACACGACCATCCTAGAAAAGGGGTAGCGGGGGAGGGGAATGAGCTGAACTGGTGGCAGCACCGCACAAGCTTGAGCGAGAGATGGCTGGAGCTGCAGGGCTGTCAGGGCTCAGCGGAAGCCCCAGGATCAGTGCTTCTTCGGGACTGTCAGGGCTCAGTGGAAGCACCAGGATCAGCGCCAGGCTCCAGCTGGAGCTCGGCGCTGATCCTGGGGCTTCTGCTGAGCCCAGAAGAAGCGCCGATCAGCTGGAATGTTGCAGCATCTCCAGGGTCTTGTGATTTACAGTCAGATGCTTGGCAACTGATTCATATTTATGATGGTCACAGTGTCCCAGGGTCATGTGAAGTGACTAAAATCTGCTGCAACCACCCAGCAGACGGGGGGAATAAAAACCAAATACTCCCCCACCCCCGCTGCCAATCCTCAACAGAAATGTCTCACAACAATGAAAACCTTGGACAGGAGGAAGAGTGCCGCAGGCAGGTGTCTTGCTCGGCTGTGTCTTGGGGAGGCACTTTTTTCAGTGCTATTGTAACTTCGAACAGTCACTAAGCGAACTGTTGTAAGTCAAGGACTAACTGTACTTTATCACTTTTTTCCTTTTTTGGGGGGGGTCATCAAGTTTTTGACACCTTGCTAGGCGAATGGTGGTACTCGGATATTGCCATATCCTAAAAGTGGTACAATGGGTGAAAAGGTTGAAAAGCCCTGCTCTAATCATCTTTGTTGCTCTTCTCTGTAGTCTTTCTAGAGTCTCAACCTCTTTTTTATATCTTGGCGACCAAAACTGGATGCAGTATTCCAAGTGTGGCCTTACCAAGGCATTATAAAGTGGTATTAACACTTCACATGATCTTGATTCTATCCCTGTTAATGCAGCCCAGCACTGTGTTGGCCTTTTTGGCAGCTGCAGCACACGGCTGGCTCATATTCAAATGATTGTCCACTAGGACTCCGAGGTCCCTCTCACAGTTGCTACTATTGAGCCATGTTTATCTCGGGGGTAGGGATGAAATGGGTGCTTTAAAAAGATTAAGACACCTTTTTATTCCTTAGGTGGGCAACTGTGGGAAAGGAGATCAGCCAACAATGAAATAAGCATCACAATGTCACACCAGTTCAGCTCCCTTTGTCTCATTTTCGTGATGTCTCACATAAGTATTTCAGGAGTGGATTTTTGCATTGTGATTTTATGATGCAAGTTTTGTTTCAAATTTTCTAGCCACCTATATATAAATTGCATGGAAAAGGGGGGGAAGTGAGCGATCAATTATTTTTAGCTGCTAATTTTTGCCTTTTGCATTGTCCTAAAAAAGCAAACCGATCTGTGCTTGATCGCTGTTGAGTTGTTCATGGTTTCATTAAATAAACATTTAATTTTTAAAAAATAAATAAATAAATAAATAAATAAATAAAATAAACCAGGCATCTTACAACGGTCTAAGACTGCAGGGTTAGTTAGAGTCTTGCTGGTTAATTTTTCTTCTATCGAATACCTGCCTCTGATGAAAACCTCGGCCCTCAAGATTAGAAAAAAAAAACCAAAACGTTTATTTCCCCTGCCATAATCTCACCGGCCACTAGGGGAGCAGTCAACGAGGCACCCAAAAGTGCCAACTCTGCGCTGCTCTCTAGCGGCCATCTGCATTTCTGCAGTCCAAATCCTAACACGGTAACCAATTAGCAACTACTTCCCGTTGAAAATAAAGAGACAAGGATGGGGGGTAGGGTTGCCAGGTCTGCTTCCAAAAAATAGCGGACAAGCGGGGTGTGTGTGTTAAGTAGTAAAAAAAGTAGACTGTACAGCTTTAGATTACGTACCATTTCATCATAAAGCTTTTGAATAAAAAAAAATGTCCACTATTTTGTGAAAAAAAATAGTGAACATAATGTGAAAAAAGTGGACTGTCCACTCAAATAGTGGACACCTGGCAACCTGGGGGGAAAAAAACAAAAAACCTACAATTCTGCTTCTTTCTCCCCTGCCTCCGAAACCCTGCTCTGGAATCAGCCGGATCGATTTTTTTTTTCCTCTTCCTCCCCCAGATCATAAAGAAAGTTAAAATTCTGAAAGCTCCGGAGCGAAACTCATTCGAGGCAGATCCGGCTTTCATTTCCACACAAAAGACAATACACAGAAGCGTTCGCCTCCCACCAACCCCCGTTCCTCTTTTTCATTTTCTTCCTTCCTTCCTTCCTTTTCTCTCTCTTTTTTTTTTTTTTCTTTTTTGCTTTTTACCTTCTGTCACCACCAAGGAGAACAAAACGCCGGTCCAAAAGCCCTTCATCGGTTTTCGGGATGCAGAAGATGACCCGGGACGATGTAGGTAGGAGCAGGCTGGTAAATCCGCAAAGCGAAGGGGGGTCCTGGGAGCAATTCTTGCAGCCCGAAGGGGGGAGAGAAACAGAGAAAAAAAAGAGACACTGCGGTTCCTTCCTTCTCGCGCTCTGCTTATGTTTGAAATCCACCCCCCTCCTCCAGCTGGGCCGGCCCCATCCCGGGCATCACTTGCAAAAAAACGCCCCTCTTTTTTCTTTTTTCAGAGAAGTTTCGGAGAGTGACGCAGCAGCGGCGGAATGAAGAAGGAGCATGGAAGAGAAGGGAAGTGATGAAAAGTTCGCATCGCGGCCACATCAGCTTTCTCCCCCCCCCCACCACCCCTTGCTTGCAGAAGCGGCTAGTCCTCAGGGCGGGGTTTTCCCGTCCTTGGCAATTTTAAGGCAGGTGCCAACTATGTTTGGGTTTTTTTTTTTTCGCCCCCTCGGTTTGTTTTAACGTGTTTTGCACGGCGGGGCGTTAAGAATACAAGGCTGTTGGGGTTTCCTTCAGGATGATGAAACGCGCATCGCTTTGTTTGTTTGTTTCTTGCCTTTATTGTGGTTAGCAATAACTCGAGCTGGCAAACGTAGCTGATATTCATTCTTCCTCCTGTTTTCCCCCACAACGACAACAACACTGTCAGATAGGTTGGGCTGAGAGAGTAACTGGCCCAAAGGCACCAGGTAAGCTTTCGTGCCTAAAAGGAGATTCCCAAAAGAAGTAATAATAATAATAATAATAATAATAATAATAATAATAATAATAATAATAATAATAACAACAACAACAACAACAACAACAACAACAACAACAATAAGTAGTAGTAGTAGTAGTAGTAGTAGTAGTAGTAGTAGTAGTAGTAGTAGTAGTAGTAGTAGTAGTAGTTGGAAGGGACCTTGGAGGTCATCAAGTCCAACCCCCTGCTCAGGCAGGTAACCCTATACCATTTCGGACAAATGGCTGTCCAGTCTCTTCTTAAAAACTTCCAGTGTTGGAGCATTCACCGCTTCTGGAGGCAGGTTGTTCCACTGGTTAATTGTTCTAACTGTCAGGAAGTTTCTCCTTAGTTTTAGGTTGCTTCTCTCCTTGGTCAGTTTCCATCCATTGCTTCTTGTCCTGCCTTCAGGCGCTTTGGAGAATAGCTTGACTCCCTCTTCTTTGGGGCAGCCCCTGAGATATTGGAACACGGCTATCATGTCACCCCTCGTCCTTCTCTTCATTAAACTAGAGATACCCAATTCCAGCAACCGTTCCTTATATGTTTTAGCCTCCAGTCTCCTGATCATCTTTGTTGCTCTTCTCTGTACTCTTTCTAGAGTCTCAACGTCTTTTTTACATCGTGGTGACCAAAACTGGATGCAGTATTCCAGGTGTGGCCTTACCAAGGCATTGTAAAGTGGTATTAATACTTCATGTGATCTTGATTCTATCCCTGTGTTAATGCAGCGTAACACTGTGTTGGCTTTTTTGGCAGCTGCAGCACACGGCTGGCTCATATTTAAATGATTGTCCACTAGGACTCTGAGGATTTTTGTGAAAAAGCACCTTTGGAATAACTGTATGACCTGGATCAAGGATCCCCAACCCCTGGTCCGTGGACCAGTACTGGGCTATGGTATGCCAGCAACTGGGCTGCACAAACAAGCAAAGCCCCATCTGCGGGATGCAGGCAGCACACAAAATCATGTCCCCTCCGGTCCATGGAAAAACCTCTGTCCACGGAACCGGTGTCTGGTGTCCAAAATGTTGGGGAGCTCTGACCTGGATGCCTGAGAATCTCCATAGACTAAAAGGGGATTAGAACTCACAGCCTCCAAGTGTCTAGCCTAGGGGAGACCACTAGACCAGGTCTCTCCAAACTTGGCAATTTTAAGACTTTGTTGTTGTTGTTGTTGTTGTTAATTGCGAAGTCGTGTCCGACCCATCACGACCCCATGGACAACGTTCCTCCAGGTCTTCCTGTCCTCTACCATCTTCTGGAGTCCATTTAAGCTCACGCCTGCTGCTTCCGTGACTCCATCCAACCACCTCATTCTCTGTCGTCCCCTTCTTCTATTGCCCTCCATCTTTCCAAGCATCAGGCTCTTCTCCAGTGAGTCCTTCCTTCTCATTAGGTGGCTAAAGTACTTGAGTTTCCACTTCAGGATCTGGCCTTCCAAAGAGCAGTCAGGGTTGATCTCCACTAGGACTGACCGGTTTGAACGCCTTGCAGTCCAAGGGACTCGCAGGAGTCTTCTCCAGCACCAGAGTTCAAAGGCCTCCATTCTTTGGCGCTCAACCTTTCTTACGCTCCAACTTTCACAGCCATACATTGCAACTGGGAAAACCATGGCCTTGACTATACGCACTTTTGTTGGCAGGGTGATGTCTCTGCTTTTTAGTATGCTGTCTAGATTTGCCAACTTTAAGACTTGTGGGCGTCAACTCCTGGCTGGGGAATTCTGGGAGTTGAAGTCCACAAGTCTTAAAAGTTGCCAAGTTTTGGATACCCTTGCATTAGAGACCAAGCTGGCTCTCATAACAGCACAATGCAAGTTCCACGCCTTAAATACTTGCATCAGACATCATGAATGGGGGGAATCAAAGGAGCCGAATGTGGTCTAAAGTACTACCTGTACATTTCAGGTCATTTTCAAGATCACAGTTGCTTCTTTTAAAAGGATATTAAAGCAAGGGCCCCCAACCCCCGGTCCAGGGACCGGCACTGGTCCATGGCATGCCAGAAACCGGGTCGCAAACAAGGGAAGCCCCCATCCGTGGGATGCAGGCAGCACACAAAACCAGGTGAAACCATGTTTTTCCAGTTCTTGGAAAAAACTCTCTCCATGGAATCAGTCCTTGGTGCCCCAAAAGATCGGGGGGGGGGGGCTGTATTAAAGGACAGCTTAAATGAAGGATTAGTGTTGGATCTGGGCAGGGTTCCCTACGGCCCCTCAATGTTGCTGTCCACTTGAAGGAAATTATGGGAAAGTGCTTGTCAAAGTTCACCCTTGTGGTCTTGTCTAAGGCTGCGTTCACATGATGTGTTGAACTACAAACTCATCAAACGCTCTTTTGCAGAGCGCACAACACTCAACTAACCACCCCATGTTGCTAATTTTATGGTTGAGCCATAAGTAGAGGGGGCACAATTGTGAGTGTGTGTGTGTGTGTGTGTGTGTCCCCTTTTGGTATTTTTTTGTGCATTAGAAAGGAAGGAGGAAGGGTTGGCTCTGTCCTCAGGTAGAAAAATACCTGCCTAGGATTCTGGAGGTGCTGGGGGGGGGGAATTCTGGGAGTTGAAGTTCTCACCTATCCTGAGAAACACTGTCTTAGTATGCAGAAAACTGCATACAACGATCATGGCCAGCAGCCCCAGAGTTCTATAGAGCATGTGCAAAGTGCAGGATCTCCCTCCTTACCTGAGGTGGAGGATATTACCTGCCCTGCACACTTTTTAATGCTTTAGGGCTAGGCGAGGGGTAGGCAACCTTGGCTCTTTTATGACTTGGGGACTTCAACTCCCAGAATTCCTGAGCCAGCATGGGGGAACTATGGCCCCTTCATGACTCGTGGACTTCAACTCCCAGAATTCCTGAGCCAGCGTGGCTCAGCATGGAAACCTCTCCCTTTCCCCTCAGCATGGCTGGCTCAGGAATTCTGGGAATTGAAGTCCACGAGTCATAAAAGAGCCAAGGTTGCCTACCCCTGGTATAGGGTTTTCTACTTGAGCATGGGGCTGGACTAGAAGACCTCCAAGGTCCCTTCCAATTCTCTTGCACTAGGCCGTTTCCTTTTTTCATTATTTTTATTTGTTTTTTTTTTAATTTGGTGTTTTGTTTTTTTATTTTTTTAAATTTTGTTCCGTGCTGTTATACAGCCTCCGGAGCCATGTATTTTGAGTTTTAAATAAATAAAATGTTTTAAACAAATAACGGCATCCTTCTCGCCCACCCTCTTCTTGAGAAGAGGTGAGTCTTTTCTAAATTCTAAATCATGCACGGCAAAGGAGTCTCTGACTCAGCCTCTTGACGTGTCCGGAGGCCAGGAATAATTTATACATGAAGGCAGATGTGTGCAGGAAAAAGAAAATTTGTGAAGATTTTTCTCCGCATGTCTCTGTCTTTTTTTCCCTTTCTTTTCTATTTTTCTATCACATATTTTTTTTTGCATTTTTAATTAGCTTCTTTATTTATTTCTTTTTTCTTTTTTTTTCTCCCATACTTTTGATTAGTTTGCATTCGTTTTTATTTCCTTTTTAAACGTTTTAATACAAAGTTTGTATCTATAAACGAAACGCCCTTGTGTTTTGTGAAGACTATCAGAAGTGAAGAAGTGAAGAATATCAGAATCTCTTGGAGTCTCTGAATCTGAGCAGCATCGTGGCCTAAGTGGCGAAGACTCTCACTCAGAAGGTTGAGAGTTCGATCCTAGATAGCAGAGTTCTCTCCTAGGGCACAAAGAGAGAAACATCTGCTGTGAACTCCAGGTGGTGTCAGGCAGGGCATCCGGCCAGTAAATACTCAGCTCCATCCAATTGCCCCGACTTTACCCTGCCTGAATTAAGGGATTACAGGGTTGAAATAAAGGGAGTTTTTGAGTCTTTAAATCTATTTTCTATTTTCGTTTTCCTTATTACTGGGTTGTTGTTGCTGTTATTGTTGTTTTTGCACTTTTGGCTTGCTCTTTGCCTTCTTTTTACTTTTTCCCTCACTTATTGGATTTTAGTTTCTCTCTCTGTGTGTGTGTCTTTCTCTCTCTCTTTCTCTCTCTTTCTCTCTCTCTCTCTCTCTCTCGTCTCTCTCTCCCTCCCTCCCCTCTCTCTCTCTCTCCCTCTCTCTCTCCCTCTCTCTCTCTTTCTCCCTCCCTCTCTCCCTCTCTCTCTCTCTTTCTCTCTTTTTTTTCTCTCTCTCTCTGCCCCTCTCTCTTTCTCTTTCTCTCTCTCTCTCCTTGTCTCTCTCTCCCTCCCCTCTCTCTTTCTCTCTCTGCCTCTCTCTCTTTCTCTTCTCTCCCTGTCTCTCCCTCCCTCTCTCCCTTTCTCTCTGT